GCAATGGTTCAGAATAATCCTCCGCTATTGGAAACCCGAGAACGTCGAGCACGGATCGACGCGTGTGGTCAGTAAATATGATCTATATGGCTTAATGATTATTTCCGTTACATAAATCATAACTTGCAATGCAATTTCATAATTTTTATTTATGATTTAACAAAATAAAAATAATAATAGTAGTAACGTTATTTATATTTTGTAAATAAATTTAATAATTTACGCGTTTATTAACAAAATTTTTTTTGTCCTTAATAATTTATTTTGTGATTGTTGGAATTATTTTTTTATTATTAGTAGAATCTTTATTTTAATAATTACATCAAAGCAATATAGCTCGCATAATGCGGTTTTCATTAATCCAGATTCACTATAATCAGGTTTGAAGAAAAACAAAACGTAATAAATTTTAACAGTTTACTGTTAGTTGACGTATTACTACGTTTTAGTTAAAAAAAGGTATATGTTAAAGGTTTTAAACGGATAAGCGGATTACAATGCGAGGTATTGGCTGCATATGTTTTAAGAAATATAAAAAAAAATATATAGTTTGTATGAATGCAAAGAAATATCATATTTTTGTAATTAATTATTTATTACAAAAAAGTAAATTATGCTAGAATAATTAGTTTTAGATAAAGATTTGCTGTTAAGGGCGTAACGGATTTGTATTATGTAAAATATATTAATATTTTATTCCGACGTAATTTCTATATCTTAAGTTATTTAAAGTATGCGTAATATATCTGAAATGAAAATGTTTTATGATAATTAGAAGGAATAATATTAGTTGCGTTTTATAAATCTTGGAAAATACTCAAGCATAAAATGTACATTTTGTGGAAATATTACTTTAAGAAATTTATTTAAAAAAATAATAATCCCAGTTTAATTTACATTTACATTTTAAGTGATTTTCTAAGGAATATAACAACTTTATTGTAATATTCCAAATGTTATATTTAGTGTAATTTTGTATATTAAAACGTATTAAATCCAATGAAAAAAAGTTCATACAATTTCTTATTATTTTTTTTAAGTTTTTGATCATTAAAATACAAAAATAATCACATTTTTTTGCTTTAGATTAATTGATCAAAATCAAGTTAATCAAAGTCTGATCAAATTAATAAGGATTATTTCAAATTTTGTAATTGATAAACGAAATATTTTCAACGAAAACATTGAAAATCACTATTTAATTTTTACCAGTATTAGTCAACTGAAAATTTGGATCAATGTATGTATGTAGCTTTTCTATATTTTTATGTAACAAATTTTCATATCGTGAATTTTCTTTGAAAAGTTATTAATAAAATATATGAAAAAGAAAATTTGCATTTATCATCAAATATATAAATTGTTCGAAATTATTGTAAAGTATATGGGAAAGTAATATACAGCAATACCTCGCATAGTGCGGATTTACTAAAGTACGTTATGAAAATTTCAAAATATATTAAATTTTAATTAAGCAAAATAACAATAAATTCTAAAAAAATAGAACATAAAATTATTATTTTATATATACAAATGTTCGTTTTTTCAAGTCTCTTTTCGTGCTTTTTTTATTTATGCTGATTTTAAAGTCCTCGATTTGTGCGGTTTCAAACAGTGCAGAATCGATTACCAGCACTATGAGAGGTATTGCTACATTTGATTTTCTAATAATAGAATATAATGAAAAATATTTGATAAAAAAATGAACTAGTTTCATTGAAATTTATCTTATAAACAATGTCGATTTCACGAAACGAAAAAAATGAATTTCTTTCTCTAGTTTATATTTATTATACCAATAAAGGTTATGAAAATAATGTTGCAAAGCGTAACGAAAACAACAGATTTCCATTGTTGTTAAACGGCGAGAGAACGGCGAAATATTTGTTCTAATTTTTTACAAAATATTATTTATTGTTGCCCGTACGTGTTTCCAATAAAATAGGCCACAGCCATTATTATTATTATATTGTACCTTAAACAAAAACCACAGAATGTTATCAAACCGCTAATGATCGGAACTATTGCCATTGTTTATGCATTGCGTGCAATAATTGTCCTAGTTTTGATTTTACTGTAAGGGCAATTTAAAACTTTACATGCATAGGCCATATGCACGTATTGAAGAATTTTAAGTAATTGATATTTACTGTCGAGTTTTTCTGTTATTTTTAGAAAATTAGGTCAAATCAAATAAACAGAGAGATATTTCATATTTTGTGCATGAAACAAATGTATTTCAAAGTAATCTAATTGTTATTATTGAAATTGTCAAGAATGATTAAAAAAACATATTAGTACACATGATGCTAATAATTACTTTAGTCAAAGTTTGGAATTTCCTAATTTAATAATGAAAAAAGACGAAAAGTGTAATATGGAAATTTCAATATGTTACTTCTATATTTCAAGACATGATATGATTTCTTCTTATAAAACATTGAAGTTTCTTATAAACTGTACATACATAGTTTTATATTCAAGATTGTTTGAAACCAGACTAATTGAGGACATTAAAAGTGGACAAAAAGAGACCAATCGACGATTTTTTTCACTATTATAGAAATAAACATAATGTTTGTTTGAATATTCTCAGCTTTGTTTTAACCAAATCAAATATAAACGAACTACAAATGACAACTAAAGTTTTATCTTTTTAATAAGAATAGATTAAATATAAAAAAAATCCAATATATTTCTCTATGAATAAGCAATAAGAACAGAGTTCGTTCTAAATGAAAAATATTGAAAGTATAAAAAACAAATAAGAAAAAAATCACGTTAGATCATTGAATTGATTAGATCATATAGGTAGTTGTTTCAGTCGAACAGCAAGTACCAATTTAAAAACGGTTATTCAATTCTAATTGCCGATAAATAAATTTCAAATATTTATATTCATAGTTTTCAATTTCTGAATTTATGAGAATCGTTTAGATCCCATGAACCGATAGTATATTTATTAAACTGTACTTGTGATTTAATCTCACGATTTATAATACCGAGGCGAGTAATAGCATTCCATGATACAAAGTGTGTCTGAGTGAGAGAGAAAGAGAGAAGACGCACTACAAAATTGTTATTTCGTGCACTCTTTGCAAGTACAGAGTGTTGTGGCGTGGTAGTCCAGATGGATGGCCTGGAAATCGTCCATTTATATCAATTATAATTAATTAATTATCGATATTTATCTCGAGGCCGACGATCACGTTAATAACGTTTTAACTCCATCTCATTTTCTCTCTCACCATTCAGCGTTTTCTGAATTTTATTCACTTGCGTTTTAATTATTGCGTTAATTGACACAGAATAAAACAGGCTTTAAAATTGACACATGTATCCTCACTTTATCTGTCCTTTCTTTTTTTTGTGTAATTGAAATAACTGCATTGTTGCCTGAATATTTAAACAAAAATTGGTCAACAACAAATACACAGTCATAAGTTTCTATAAGAAAAATTGAAAACTTGCATTTTATTAACTAAATTTTAGACTCTTCTTCGACTAATCTTCTGCAAATATAATATTATATAATTTTATATTATAAATACAGCAATACCTCGCATAGTGCGGCTACAATCAGTCCGGTTCTTTAATGGCATGTTTGAAATTTTTGAAGCTAACTACATTTTACTTAAGAAATATAAATTCTAAAAAATGAGTATACAAAATATTGTTTATATGTATTTAGTTCCTCGATTAATCCGGTTACAACTGATGAAATGCCATTAGTCCTGATATAAACTAAGTACTTACATATACCAATACTCTCGACAATTTCCAGCAATCAAGCACAAGCTTTTCTCGGCCAGGAATTTGTTGAATTTCCCGGAATGTCTGAGATCTTCTTTCCAGAGAATCAGGTTACAAAAGTACCTGTGTTACTCTTAAATATCAGCATTCTAAAAATCTGTTACTTCTATAAAATTATAATTACATAATAATAATTAAGTAAAAAACATGTTAATTTTCTGTTTTAAATATATATTTTATTTAAAATCTGTATTTACATAAAAAAAAAGTCTAAAAAAAATGTAATTTACAATATATACATAATACTTATGCAGAGTTTAATGTGGTGAATTTTTGAGTTTTTCTGTTGGATTATTATTCTTCAATAGAAGTTCCTTCATTAGAAGTTGCTTCTTTAGAAGATTATTCAGGTTCTCCAAACCTTTTTTATTTTTAATTTGAAAATTGTCTTTAGATACACTCTTTCCATCCACTTTGATCTTGTTGTTAATTTGTCTTAGAGCTTTACGTTTCTCATTCTTGATTTGGCGTACCTTCATGTTTCCGTAAGTCAATTTAAAGATATTTTTCCTATTAACTGCATTACGTTTTCTATGGTCTTTGATTTTCTTCTCGATGTTCTCATCAAGACGTCTATCTGAAAATATATCTTTCAGCACTTGTTTACCGTCCTTCACCAGAACTTCTTTCAGATCCCCAATAGACATCTCCTGGAAGTTGGCCGTCATTTCCGTCATCTCTAGCTTCTGAATGAATACTTGAATTTCAGACATCGTGTTTATAATATACGAGAAGTTTGTTGCTCGAAAGAATTGATGTTGTCGTACCGAAAACTATTCACGAACTGATACCTTTCGCAAGTTTCAGCAAGTATTTATAGTAAACAGGGTATTAAGGGTACCAAGTATTCGCCTTACAATTTTATTGGAGGTGCAATAAAATCAGGTAAACTTTCTCCCTCTACCGCATAAAAGTAAAATTTGTGGATTATTTACACATTGAAAATTCTGAAAATTTTAATTATTAATTCTAGAAAATCAAATCAACATTTACTCACGTGGAAGAAGCACATAGCAACTAAAAGGAAGCAACTGGGCATCAAGTTCGCGAAATTGTACTGGCTGATTTGCAGAAGATCTCCTTTCTCCCTCGACAACAAACTACTTATTTATAAGTCAGTGCTGAAGCCGGCGTGGACGTACGGCACCCAGCTTTAGGGAAAAGTAAGTAATACCAACATCGAGATCCTACAACGCTTCCAGTCCAGGTGCCTGCGAACCCTGGTGCAAGCTCCTTGGAATGTCACGAACGACACGATACAGAATGACATCCAAATGAACACCGTTAAGAGTGAAATCCTTATGTTCAGTGCCCGTTACCAGAACAGACTGGAAAACCACCCCAACAGTCTCGTTGTTTTCTTGTACTGTAGAATGATTATCTTTTAAGTTATTTAGTTTCGTCAATATTTATTTTTAGTTAAGTTGGATTTATGGCCTGGAAATCATCCATTTATATCAATTATAATTAATTAATTATCGATATTTATCTGGAGGTCGACGATCTAGTTAATAACGTTTTAATTCCCCACCATTCAGCGTTTTCAGTATTTTATTCACTTGCGTTTTAATTATTGCATTAATTGACACAGAGTAAAACAGGCTTTAAAATTGACACATGTATCCTCACTTTATCTTTCCTTTTTTGTGTAATTGAAATAACTACTATTGTTGCCTAAATATTTAAACAAAAATGGGACAACAACAAATACACACTTATAAAACAAATAAAGTTTCTATAAAAAAAATAGAAAACTTGCATTTTATTAACTAAATTTTAGACTCTTCTCTGACTAATCTTGTGCAAATATGATATTCTATAATTTTATAACACGATCAGTCCGGTTCATTAAGGTTTGAAATTTTTGAAGGTAAACACATTTTACTTAAAGTCTTAAAAAAATGTAATTTACAATATATATAATACTTATGCAGATTTTAATGTGGGGAATTTTTGAGGTTTTCTATTGGATTATTAATGATATTAGTAATTTTTGAACTTTTACAAATCAAAACATGTTTGCACCACCTGCAATCTTGGCACCACCGTTGAATACTTTGGACGTTGTGTTCCCACATTCTTCATGAATTTTCCTGCTTCAGTTACGCACTGATTCGAAAGATGGGTTTTCGGTTGTCGACTATCCAGGTTTATTTGTCTTCTTGTACTTCACTTGGATCGGCCTACCTCTTAGCATAAATCCATTCATAAATACAAAATATTGTTTATATGTATTTAGTTCCTCGATTAGTCCGGTTACATCTGATGAAATGCCATCAGTCCTGACATAAACTAAGTATTACATCTAGCAATCAACCACGAGTTTTTCTCGGGCAGGAATTTATTGAATTTCCCGGAATGTCTGAGATCTTTTTTCCAGAGAATCAGGTTACACTTAAATATCACAGTATTTCAGTTACTCTTAAGTATCAGCATTATAAAATTTTGTTACTTCTATAAAATTATAATTACATAATTATTAAATAAAAAACATGTTAATTTTTTGTTATAAATATATATTTTATTTAAAATCTGTATTTACATTAAAAAAAATCTTAAAAAAATGTAATTTACAATATATACATAATACTTATGCAGATTTTAATGTGGGGAATTTTTGAGGTTTTCTATTGGATTAGTAATGATATTAGTAATTTTTGAACTTTTACAAATCGAAACATGTTTGCTTATATGGAATCTTAGCACCACCGTTGAATACGTTGTTTTTTCACATTCTTCATGAATTTTCCTGCTTCAGTTACGCATTTGTTCGAAAGATGGGTTTTCGGTTGTCGACAATCCAGGTTTAGGTCTTCTTGTACTTCACTTGGATCGGCCTACCTCTTAGCATAAATCCATTCATTTTCATGGCCTTCTCCACCGATAATGGCAAATTGAATTCAATATGTGCAAAACCCTTAGGTTTTCCGTTGCACGTATCGAATGAAATTTTTGATGGTAAACACATTTTACTTGAGAAATATAAATTCTAAAAAATGAGTATACAAAATATTGTTTATATGTATTTAGTTCCTCGATTAGTCCGGTTACAACTGATGAAATTCCATCAGTCCTGACATAAACTAAGTATTACATCTAGCAATCAACCACGAGTTTTTCTTGGGAAGGAATTTATTGAAATTCCCGGAATGTCTGAGATCTTTTTTTCAGAGAATCAGGTTACATTTAAATATCACAGTATTTTAGTTACTCTTAAATATCAGCATTATAAAAATTAGTTACTTCTATAAAATTATAATTACATAATAATTATTAAATTAAAAAAAAACATGTTAATTTTTTTTATAAATATATATTTTATTTAAAATCTGTATTTACATAAAAAAGTCTTAAAAAAATGTAATTTACAATATATACATAATACGTATGCAGAGTTTAATGTGGGGAATTTTTTAGATATTCTGTAGTATTATTAATGATATTAGTAGTTTTTGATATTTTACGAATCACAACATGTTTGCTTATATGGACAATCTTGGCACCAGCGTTGAATACTTTGGGCGTTGTTTTCCCACATTCTTCATGAGTTTTCCTGCTTCTGTGATGCACTTGTTCGAAAGATGGGCGGTTGGTTGTCGACAATCCAGGTTTATTTGTCCTCTTGTACTTCACCTGGATCGGCCTACCTCTTAGCATAAATCCATTCATTTTGATGGCCTTCTCCACCGATAATGGCAGATTGAATTCAATATACGCGAAACCCTTAGGTTTTCCGTTGCACGTATTGATTGGAATAGAAACACGATTGATTTTTCCGCACCTAGAGAATATTTTTTCTAGCAAATGTGCGGTCGCACCATAATCAACGTTCCCAACAAACACACTTCTTATATCTGCTTCAATCTTCTTTTCGGAGTTCTCATCAATATGTTCAGTTGAAACTGTTTTTTTTATCAGATGCTTATCGTCCTTCAATAGGAGTTTCTTCAGTTTCTCTAAACCTTTATTATTATTAATTTTTACATTGTCTTTTGATACACTATCAGCTTCGATCTTCTCATTTTTTATCAGAATATTCTTCGTGTGTTTGACAACATGTTCTGTTGAAACTGTTTTTATTATCAGATGGTTGTCGTTCTTCAATAGAAGATTCTTCAGGTTCTCCAAACCTTTATTCTTATTAAATTTTACATTGTCTTTAGATACACTCTTTCCATCAGCTTCAATCTTCTCATTTTTTACGTTTTTGATCTTGTAAATTGTTGTAATTTTAGTTACATTATCTTTAGATAAACTTTTTTTGAGAACGTCAATCTTGTTGTTAATTTGTCTTACTGCCTTACGTTTCTCATCCTTCATCTGGCGTATCTTCATGTTTCCGTAAGTCAATTTGAAGATGTTTTTGCTACTAATTGCATTACGTTTTCTATGGTCTTTGATCTTCTTCTCGGTGTTCTTGTCAAGACGTCTATCTGAAAATATATCTTTCAGCACTTGTTTACCGTCCTTCACCAGGACTTCTTTCAGATCCCCAATAGACATCTTCTGGAAGTTGGCCGTAATTTCAGCCATCTCTAGCTCCTCACTGAATACTTGAATTTCAGACATCGTGTTTATAATATACGCGAAGTTTGTTGCTCGAAAGAATTGATGTTGTCGTACCGAAAACTATTCAAGAACTGATACCTTTCGCAAGTTTCAGCAAGTATTTATAGTAAAAGGGTATTAAGGGTACCAAGTATTCGCCTTACAATTTTATTGGAGGTGCAATAAAATCAGGTAAACTTTCTCCCTCTACCGCATAAAAGTAAAATTTGTGGATTATTACACATTGAAAATTCTGAAAATTTTAAAAATTAATTCTAGAAAATCAAATCAACATTTACTCACGTGGAAGAAGCGCATAGCAACTAAAAGGAAGCAGAAGATCTCCTTTCTCCCTCGACAACAAACTACTTATCTATAAGTCAGTGCTGAAGCCGGCGTGGACGTACGGCACCCAGCTTTGGGGAACAGTAAGCAATACCAACATCGAGATCCTACAACGCTTCCAGACCTGGTGCCTGCGGACCCTGGTGCAAGCCCCCTGGAAGGTCACGAACGACACGATACACAATGACCTCCAAATGAACACCGTTAAGAGTGAAATCCCTATGTTCAGTGCTTTTTACCAGAACAGACTGGAAAACCACCCCAACAGTTGTGTCAGTACCACCCCCAACAGTACTGTCGTCAAAATTAATTTTTAGTTAAGTTGCTTTTTTAGTTTTATATTTATTTGTTGGAAGGTTTCTGATGGGAAATCGTTCCGCTCCATGCCTATTTTATTTTCTTTTTTTTGTCTTGTGGTCAAAAAACATTCCACTTATTGCCAAAAATTGGCAGGTTGTGAATAATAAATTATGGATATGAAAAAAAATGATATAAATAAATATTTATTATATGACCTATGGTCAATAGCCCTTTGTTAATATTTTTGTTGTTGCAATAAAAAATACAGTGGAACCTCGCATAACGTGCGATGAATTATAAGAAAATTGATTCGCATTATTGTGTATTACATTAGTTTATGCGGGGAAAATTGTTTAAAATCCGGAAATTTTGGAACGGATTATGCTCGTTAATTGAATGAACTGATAATTTGTAATGAATATCGTTTGACAATTAAATTACAGTTTGAGATCTAAATGTGAAATATATGTTAGATTTTAATGTACGTATTCGTTTTTATTTAATTTTGTTCATTCATAAAAAGAGATAACCAATTAACAGTAATTTTCCGTTTCGAAACTTCGATTATCTGCAATCAACTATTATTACTAAATTACGTTGCCATAAATATATATTTCCTGTATAATCGAAGCGGCTTACGTTTATTGGCTGAAACCCTATTCGTAGGACAGCGTTAAATTAATTGCTCTATCAGTAGAAACATGTAATTAGTAGGAAAATCCGTACTAATTAATAATACTACCACCACCACCAAATATTTTTTTGTATGTTCTATGAGACGATAATTAGATTTCAACCCTCTTCCACCCGAGGAAGACAAATTTCCTAACACGGAAATAGAATGTATACTCGGGGTCTGCAAACTATAAATACATTAATGAGTGTTTAGTATTTTGGGAGGTCAGGAGGACAAAGGGTGCGAGCGAGACCGCCGAAATTTATTAGTATCCAATTATGGACGACTTCCTCTGTTTAATTAGAAACGAGAATTAAATACTGGAACGTTGTTTTCTTCGTCTGCTTCTTTTTCTTCTGCTGTTAGTCGGAAATAAATGTATATAATAAACGTATAAATAACGTAGGGAGTTGTAGGAGAAAACGTCGAAATTAAAATAATAATGGAGACATGGTAATATATCATATTTCATATTTATTCCGCGCCATGTAGAAGTGTGTATGTGCATTTGTCAAGATCGAACTGTCCGATAGTCGTTGACCGCTTCCCCAGACACAGGAAAAAAAACAACAGATATGTTCAATTTTTAAAAAGGAAACTGAAGGAAAATATATAATATGCAGTGGGAATAAAAAAAAAAGAAGCGACGAGGAACTCGATGCAAACGAATAATAAAGGGGGAAAACGCAGCAGTAGTAATAAGTTTACGAATTACAAAAAAAAGTACCAAAAAATAGGGTTTATATTTTTTTTTTCGTTGGATTTGCGATAAAGTACAAAGCAAATGCACTAAACATGCCGTGATAAAAGCCGGTGCCCCATAATCTGGGTGCCGGATAAAAGAAAGATCGGTTTCATGCTAGATTGAGTATTGTCACGATTTCCGTGACCCATATTCGATAAGGCACGTTCTATGGGGTTGCCTTATTATCCACTTAAAATCACCTTATATGTGAACGTTCAATGTTCAATTATGTAACTCTGGCCACTAATAAATGTCAGATTGATGCAGGACGATGCAAGGAAAAATTCGCGCCGCGTGGAAGAAGGAGATAGAGATAGAGAGGCTACGGTTTGGAGTACTTCTACAAAACTACTACTATTGCTATTACTATAACTACAACTACCACGCGCTGAGATGAGATGATAGACATAACGCGTAATATCGTCGGGCGAGCAACAGAGAGAAAGAGTTTGCGAAATTTACTGCTCATTCAAATGTCATTAACATATGTTTGGTTTAGGTGGATTTATGCACGCAAAAGGCTATTTCACTTTATGTCATTCCATTCGCACGGAAGAATACCACCTCACCTCATAAATGTTATTCAATTTTAAATTGCCGCGTAGTTGTAATTCAGCTCCGTATGATAATAATTATAATCCTTAATTGCAGGTAATTAAATACAAATCGGAGATCGAAATAAACCATTAATAATACACATCTTTTTTTTTTGTAATCGCGTACGAAACAATCTAACCTTTGCGAGCACATTCATAAATATGGAATCATGCTTACAAAGTATTTAATTTGAAGATTTAAATAGATAATAACATAATAATTATTTGCAAATAGGTATGGATTGTATAACATTTAATAATATTTATTGATAACCAAATTTAGAAACTACAGTTTAAATGAGTTAAAGGAAACGTAATTAAATAACAAATAAACATAAATAAATAATATACTTTCAATTTTTTCTCTTAATAAATAAACTATATGTTCAGTATACACTTTAACCCCTTGTGGCCCAACTTAATTTTGTCAAAATTATCGCTTTTTTTTTAATAATTAGGTTAAAGAATGAATCCATGATCAAATTTTTCTATTTTTTTTAGTATTTGAAAAAATATGAGATTCCAAATAATTACTCTTTATGTGGTCCCATGATGGAGAACCACTGGCTCACAATGGATTAAAATGAGGATATCCGTTCTAGAAGGTTTATGATTAATATTTAATACAAAATCGGTAATTATCTGTCAAAAAGGGCGTAAAGTCCTGTAAATTGAAAGTTCGTGATTGTCAGAAGACATTGATAGTTCTTGGAAAAAAGTCATTAAAAAATAGTTAAAGGAAGTTCGACGTAAAATATGGCCAAAAGTTTTACTAGTAGAATAAATGATTATGAAAAGAATGTTATCAATTTATTGCGTGCGGAAGACTATGGTTTTCCAATGGAATATTTAGAAAATCTTAGTAACAACGAAGACAAAAAAAAGAGTACAAAATTAAAGATGTTCCTTTAAAAAAAAGGAAAGTTCGTAATTGTCAGAAAACATTAATAATTCTTGGAAATAAATATGTAAGAAATAATACAAGGATGTTCGGCAAATAAAAATATGACCAGAAGTTTTATTAGTAGAAGTTAACCAGAAAATTGCTATGAAAAGGTTATACATTTATTGAGTGCGGAAGATGATCGTTTTTCTATAGAATATTTAGAAAATCTTGGTAGCAATAAGGACAAAGAAAAATGATCATCAAATTAAAGATTTTTCTGCAAAAAAAAATAACAACTAAATATTAAAATAGTACTTAAATCATTTATAAACGTTCATAGATTTTCATTAAAATTATATCCATTCTGGTTATAATATTTTAACCTCTGAAAACGCAGTTTTGTTTAAAGTTGAAATTTCGTTATACTTGAATATGTTAAAATAAATAGATAAACAAAATCAGTCAAAAGCTAAATACAGTCATACATCGCTTAACGTTACTTTCATATAACAAAGTTCGCAATTGTTAGAAAACAGTGATAGTTCTTGGAAAAAAGTCAGTGAGAAATAGTTAAATGCAATTCGTTGTAAAATATGGCCAAAAGTTTTACTAGTAGAATAAATGATTATGAAGAGAATGTTATAAATTTATTAAGTGCGGAAGATCATGGTTTTCCAATGGAATATTTAGAAAATCTTGATAACATCGAAGACAAAGAAAATGAGTACAAAATTTAAGATGTTCCTGTAAAAAAAGTAAAGTTCGTAATTGTCAGAAAACATTAATAATTCTTGGAAAGAAATATGTAAGAAATAATACAAGGATGTTCGGCAAATAAAAATATGACCAGAAGTTTTATTTGTAGAATTTAACCAGAAAATTTCTATGAAAAGGTTATAAATTTATTGAGTGCGGAAGATGATCGTATTTCTATGGAATATTTACAAAATCTTGGTAGCAACAAAGACAAAAAAATGATGATCAAAATAAAGATGTTTCTGTAAAAAAATAACATGTATGTAGCAAAATAAATGTATTATTATCATATGTAATTATAACGTAATTAAATTTCAATTATTCTTAATGATAAGTTTTTTAAATTCGTATTTATATCATAGTTTTAAGTACCCCTTTTATTATTGCACGAACTAACAAACTATATCCAGTAATTAGTCATGTTATGCAGGTAAAAAAAAGGTGATTCGCATACTCCACGGCCCATATAAACTTCTGAGCGTTGTAAAAAAAGAACAAGAACAACAAGAGAAAACAAGAGAGCATAGTTTTCTAATGAAATATTTAGAAAATCTTGGTAACAACGAATACACAGAAAATGAGTACCAAATTAAAAATGTTCCTGTAAAAGTTCGTAATTGTCAGAAAATTATTTCTTTTCTGGTTATATTATTTTAACCTCTTTAAACGCAGTTTTGTTTAATATGTTAAAAGAAATAGATAAACAAAATCAGACAA